CAACAAGCACTGCACTGCTTGGTTGGTTGGTTGGTTGTTTCGCGAGTGCACACACGAATGTTTCAGTATTGTCGACGTGACGCACATTTGGCATCGGCATCAGTAAGGCCATTCTCGCTCCCCACTTACAGGCAGATAAACTTGTCCAATGAGTTCCACTTGCAAGGTGATGCAATACAACCACTGCCAACGGATCCATGCGGACAAATTGCAACCACAGGGGAAGGCAGGTGTTCTTCCATCGAAGTACTGCTCACATGTGCCTTCATCACCTCACCAAGTGGGCATTTGATATTTACGTGTTGAAAGTAGGCTGAGTTCGTCTGGGAAGGCGAGAAGAAGTTGAGATGTTGGTTAGTAGTGTGCGATGTACGCGGTGATGGTGAAATTTCGCACCTACATTCATTTTCTTGGTGCCTCCTTTTTCATCGGAGATGAGATGCGGAGGTGTGTGCATAGGTGATGCATCAAGTTAACCGGCAGCATTCTCACTCGGATTGTCTGTTGAAGTAGTTGGCTTATTTATTGCGAAGTGAGCGTCATTGAAGGACTACCTGGTCATATCGTGGTGGTAGTTAAGATTGCCTCGCAAATAAAGGCGCAGAATTTCGCTAACAAATCACCAAGGCTGCTTACTGCCCATTTGTGTTACAGCGATGCTTTGATGATGATAACAATGCTAACGAAATGATGATGGTGATGGTGATGATGATGATGATGATGATGATGGAGGAGTAGGAGGAGAAGGAGGAAGAAGTGAAAGTGGAAGGGAGTTAAGCATGTCTATCTCTGGATGGAAGTGAAGGACCTTCTCCTATGGTCATTTGATCTCCTCGTTCTCCTCCTCCGCCACCTCCTCTTCCACTATCACACACACGCAGATCTCCGAAGCAGTGAATTTATTTGCCTAACTACCGCCGCACATCCACCTTTGTGGAGAAATGGTGCCCGTCTTTACTCAACTGGACGTGCCCCAAAACCTGCACCTCCTTTTTAAACTGCATGTCACTTTTGTGCATTGTAGCACTGTCCACCTCACTTGTGACCTACATCGCCACCATTCAGTGCCATGATGTGATCCTCGCCAAAAGCACATGCGACAGCAAAACGGGTCTACCATATTTCCACCATTATTTGTATCATCATTCCCTATTGGCGGCACTGCAACTTGTCTCTCCAACTAATCTGCAACTGATTGCACCAAGTAAGTCTCCCCACACCTCCCACCGCATTCACGCACTCCTCATGCACAAATAGGAGCAGTTGGAGGGAAATGCCACATTGCCATCTGCAGTGAGCCACCTCCTCACGAGGCTTTGTAGGAGCGGCATTTTAGCCACTCACACCTAAGTCTGACCACATATAAGATGGGCTCCATTTACGATGCATATCTGCGTGGGTTTCTCTCAAATTACCACCCTCGCTGAAAATGCACAGCCGATACGCAAAGTCCGCCATCCACACCGCACTTCTCGACATTTGGATAAATTGGCTGTTGACACACTGGGCCACAACTCGCCTCTCGTGTCTCGCACCAGCAGCATAACGTATGCCATTCCATCCATTTGTGCAGTGTGTGCGTTGTGGGCAGAGCACATGGAATGCGTGAAAGATGCTGCCACACCTCTCGACCATCAGATTTTCGCACTGGTTTTGGGATGGAAGTCTACAACGAAGTGGTTTTGGTCGCCTACGTGGCCACATTGACTACCCTCTCGCATTGCTCCACCATCCCACTGCCTTCGCCAACCTCAGAGCCACGATGAGCGACCCAGCCCCACCTCCTTCCCTCTCGCCACGTTCATGTATTCCACACAACTGCTCCCACGCTTGCCTGCAAGTTTGCAAGACACACCACCCATGTCAACAGAATGCCACTT